ATGATATGTGCGGCCGTGGCCGCGGCTGCCGCCTGGTGCAGCTGTGCCAGGCTGACATCGCTGAAGGCAATGAAGATGTGCAGCAAGTAGAGCTCAAACAGCTCACACAGCCCAGCAAAGATGCCTGGGGCCGCGGTGAGTAGGGGCCTGCTGCCAAGACGGGGCGCAAGGTAGGCTTGGAGTCAATATGCTGGCGTGGGGTGGATGGGTGTGTGGATGGATGATGGTGGTGGCGGGTGGGCGAGATGCAGCACGGACAGCGGCTACTGAGCCCAACCAAAGCCCTCTGCTCAACACGGGTGGCAGATTATTCAATCATGCAGCATGCCCAGGCTTCAAGGCCCAGCCCCTCACCTCATCAGCTGGCCATAGTCTCGCATCCACTTGTACATGCGCCACGAGGGAGTTGGTGACAGCTGGCACGCCGCCGCCGCCGCCGCCGCCGCCGCCGCCGCCGTTGACGCCCAGCCCGCTGCCCGGCCGGCTGCCGCTGCCATTTAGCAAGTCCCCTGAAGCAGATCAGTCAGGGACCGAGCCCCAAGGTGCACGCGAGTGTGTGGGAAGGTACAGATGCGCCTCAGAAACAGGAAGCAGGGTGGCAGGTGCGCTTGCTGGCCACGCTTCCCACGCCCGCAGCAGCAGCCCTTGCGCTCACCGAAGCCGTCGTCTGCCTCGCCATCCCCCGCCTGCTCCCCATCGGTGGCCGCCTCCGACTCGGACTGCACGCTGCCGGCCCGGCTGCTCTCCGCGTCGGCGGCAGAGGGTGTGTTGCTGGCAGAGCGGGGCACACCATACTCATCCACATCCAGCAGCCGCCCGCCCCGGCTGTCGTCCAGGCTGGCAGAGCCGCCAAAGCCCAGCTGCTGCGCGGCGCGGCGCCGCCGCGGCGACTGCTGCTTGCGCCACGGGTTGCCCTGCACAACAAATCGCTCGAAATCTGCCAGGGGGTGCGCCCCGCTGCCTGCACCGCTGCCACCGCTATTGCTGCCATTGCCGCTGCCGCTGCCATTGCCGCTTCCCAGGCCGGAGATGGGCCCGGGGCTGGCCACGGGGCTGGGCCCAAAGCTGACGCCGCCACCGCTGCCGCCCTCGCCTGCGCTGCTGCTGCGGGTCCGCAGTGCTGCCGACAGGCTGGGCAGCTCTGCGGGCAGCCGCCGCCACAGCTCCTTGTCAAGCATGCTGCTCAGGGCCTGTAGGGGGCAGGCAGGCAGGGCGAGGCGAAGAAGTAAGACGCAGCGCGTAGGAAGAATGCGGGGCGGAGCAGGCAGAGTGTCCTTGCTGCTGAGCGCGCCGATCACATAGCCGCAGCTAGAGACCGCAACTCCACACAACGGCCAGCCGCTCCCTCACACCACAACACCGCACACAGAACACACACACCACCCGCGCCGCCACTACATCTGCACACACCACCACCGCCGCTGCCACACACCAACACCGCCACCAGCCCCACCTCTATGTTGGCGTGGTGGTAGAGGCGGAAGAACTTGCAGCTCTGCCGCTCCAGGAGCGTGCGCAAGCTGGTGCACGGCGCGCCGCTGAACGCCTCGCCCACCCCGAGCAGCCGCTGCGTCCACTCCATGACCTGCCAGGCAGTGAGATACGTGGTGGGGCGGCGCACAGGCAGTGTGCTGTGATGGAGCACGAAGAGTGCGCCAGGGTCCAGCCAGGCAAGCAGACGAGTAGCTATCAGCCGGCCAGGCTAGCAAAGCTGACAGACAGGCAGGCAGGCAGCCAGCAGCACGCAGGCAGCCACCCCCCCCAGCCACCCACCTGCAGGAAGTGCTCCCCCTCAAAGGCGGCGGGGCTGCTGAGCAGCACGCCCACCCTCCGCGCCACCTCCTCCCAGATCAGCTGCCGCCCGCTGAGCAGCCCGCCGTGCACCGCGGCCAGCACCTGCCCCCACTCCGCCTCATCCGAAGCACGCGCCTCCACCTCCTCCAGCTCAGAGGCGGTGCCCCGCCGCAGCTGCATGGCCGCCCGCCCCGTCACAGTCACGTCGCCGCTGCCATCGCGAGCATCCGGATCCAGCAGCCCGCCGCCGCTGTCCTGGCGCTGCCACTGCGCCTGCTGCTGCGGGTGGTGGTGGTGGTGGGGCGGCGCCAAGCTGCCGCTGCTGCTGCTGGCGGTGCCGGGGCGCGCAAGGGCACGCCCAGATGCTGCTGCTGCTGCTGCTGCCGGCTCCTCTCCCGCCCCTTCACTGGCGTCGCCATCGTCGCCGCCCAGCCGCTCCGCCAGCTGGTGTCGAGTCGCCTGCAGCCCCGCCAGCTCAGCGGCGTGCCGCTCCAGCGCCGCCTCGTGCCACCGCACCATGTGGAAGTGAGAGACCTGGGGGGAGGGGGGCGAAGGTAGGGCACAGGTACATACATCCATCCATTGTGCCAGAGCACGGCATGCAAACATGGGTTCGGGTGGCTGGCCGACATGCCAGGGTGCGCCGTGCCCGGTGGCCTCCCTGCTGAGACGTGCCAGCAGCCACCCAGATATCAAATACTCCCTCCCGCCCGCCCTCCGCCCAGCCAGGATGTCAAACCCCGCACCAGGATGTCGAAGAGCACCATCAGCACGCGGGCCAGGCAGGTGCGGAAGAGGTCGGAGGGCAGGAAGCGCAGCAGCTCCTGCAAGCGCAGGCAGGTGGCGGGACGGGTGGCGCGTATGGATCGCTGTGGATCACTCGTACAGCTGAGGCAGAGATTTGGTGCCGGGCCCAGGAGCAGGCTCTCCTCCAGCCAGCTGCAGCTGAGCTGGCTGCCACCCCAACTCGTCAGCAAATGCCAGTTGCAGGCACTCGGCAAAGCCACCTCCCCTCCGTGCATGCCCAGCCAGCCAGCCAGCCAGCCAGCAGGCCCACCTGCAGGTTCCCTGCCACCGCCGCCTTCTCCTCATACCCGGGCCGCGTCAGCAGCACCCCGCGCACCACCTTGGCGACAGAGGAGTTGATGGTGGCTACAAAGGCGCTCTGCACCTCGGCCCCAAGCTGCAGGGAAGGGAATGAGACAGCGGGGAGGCAGGGAGCGGCAGGGTCGACGTTTCAGGGCCGCTACAGCATGCGGAGGCTCCAGGAGCTGATCCCAGGCAATGCGCTGTGCTTGTGCCGCCATGCCACTCTCGCAGCGCCGCCCACCTGCTCCACATTGCCCAGAAACATGTAGCCCTCCAGCACCTGCGCCCGGCGGGCCAGCAGCGGCGGCAGCAGCAGCGGCGGTCTCAGTGCATGCACACAGTGCTGCATACTGGAGGCCCTCTGTAGGGGGAGCATGCCATGCAATACCAATGCCATGCAAACCCTCAGGCCAGCCAGCCACAACCAGGCACCTTGGTGTAGTGGGAGGGGCGGAAGTCGGAGCAGACGGCGGCCATCGCGCTTTCCAGCCGCTCCATGGTCTCCGCATACAGCCGGTTGATGGTCACCGTGAGCTGCAGGACAGGAGGTGCGCAGAGCAGGGAGCAGCCACGGCTGAAAGGCGCGGGGACGGCGGCCAGGGCGGGTACCATGCGCCCGGCTATAAGCGCTGCAGCGCAACAGCAGCACGCATGGCTGGCCGGGGGCGGCGGCTCCGGGAGCAGCAGCCGACGAAACCGCACCTCCTGCGCCACCCGCAGCCCCTCCCCCAGCTCCTCCATCGAGCGGATGCACTGGGCGCACAGCCAGAATGCCTCCGCAAACTCCCCCTCCTCCTGCGCCTCCCTGCAAGCCGGGGGGCGGGCAGGCAGGGGTGGGGCGCGCAGGATGGTGTGGGAACTCGAGTCGAGAGGCGCCAAAGGCAACTCAAACCCAGCTCAGACCCGCAGCATGCCCAGTTCGATTCCAGCCTGACTCCCCAGCCAGCCAGCCCGGCAGCGCCAACAGGCAGGCACGACGGCGGCGAGCGCCCCTCTGCCTGCCAGCTCACTTGAGCGCGCGCTGCAGGTTGCTGGCCTGCTGCAGCCTGAGCAGCGCCTCCAGCAGCGCCGTCAGCCCCTGCTTGCGCCGCGTGTCCTTGGCAATCTTCAGGTTGCTGTTCACCTGCAGACGCGGAGGCGGTGGCAGCGGCAGGCCAGCGCAAGGCGCCTCACAAAAAAAAGGTCAGGCACAGAGTGTATTGCCCCGTGCAGCGCTCAGCCACCGCCTGCTCGCTTCGGCCCCCAAAACGTTTCCGCGGCAGCCGCTGCATGGGCGCCTTGCTGCTGCTGCATGGTAGCTCGCATGCAGCAGCGAGGCTCCGATGCCGGGCAAGGCTCCCATGCTCCCATGCCCCCTCCCGCCCGCGCGCCCGCCCACCTCTCGCTGCGCCAGCGCCAGCGCCTCGCGCGACCGCTTGGCGGTCACGTGTGCCGCCTGCACCTCGGCCTCCACCCGCGTCACCTCGTTCACCCCCGCCACAAACTTGTCGTAGTTGTGGATCACGTGGGCGCTCAGCTTCTCGCTCACAACCTGCCGCGGAAATGCAGGCAGCCAGCGGTGGCGTGGGTGCACGACGGCGGGCAGGCGGGAAGGCGGCGGCGGCCATGCACGGCCTGTAGGCAAGCCCGCCCGGCGTGCTGCATCCCTGCCGCCCTCTCCAGCCATGCTGCATGGCTGTCCCGGGCTGCGCCGGGCCTGGCCAAGCGCCGGCGGCGGCGCACCTCGAGCACGCAGGTGCGCTCCTCAGCCACCTCCTCCAGCTGGTCGCCGCCAAAGTTGACCGGCAGCTGGCGCAACTCATGCTCCAGAGCATCAAACAGCTCTGGCGGGTCAAAGTAGCCTGGCGCCAGGCCGTTCAGCGCGGCCTCCAGCTCGTCCTCGGACGTCTGGGAGGGCACCAGGATGCCGTACCTGTCGGCGGCGGCGGGGTGCAAGCGGGAGCCGCCGCCGTCGGCGGGCGCGCCGCTGGCGCCGCTGCGGGGCTCCTCGCCGTCGACGCCCGCCTTCCTGCGGCGGAAGGAGGCCGACCGCAAGCTGCCCACCAGCTTGCTGAACTGTGAGGACATCGCTGCTGCTCACAGCGAGCGAGCGATCGTGGGGCTATGCGATCGTGGGGCTCATGGCTGTGCCCCGGCACCCCTGCTGCGAGCCCACGAGGCCCGGCATCCGCTAACCGGCGCCCCTGCCCGCCAGGAGCCCAGTCAAAGGTTGCGAGATGGAGGCGTGCAGGCTTGGGCAGAGGGCGGCAATGTCGTGAGCACTGCTGGAAGCAGTGCAGGGTGTCACAGGCTCTGTGGAATAGAGAGGATGCGGGGGCCGACGTGGCCACGGCCAAGGGGTGCCTTCGCCAATCCCCGGCATCCGCACGCTTATTGAAGTGCCGCACATCGATAGGTTCGGTCCCTGGCTCTGATCATTCGCGTCTCTGCTCCAACACACCACCCGTGACGTCCTCAGCCACCCCGGCGCCCCGCCCAGCCGCCTCGATGCACCTGCCGGCCGGCATCGGCATGAAGCTGCCCTGCATCAGCCTGCCGCCGCTCCCCTGGGCACCCCGCAAAGGCGGCAGCGGCGGCGGCGGCGGCGGGCGGGCAGCCCGCCTCACGGCGCAGCTGCCCACGCTGCAGCGCAGCCCGGGGCAGTGGCGCTCGCTGCTGGTGCACGCCGTGGACCTGCAGACGGAGATCAGCAACCTGGAGCCGCCGCCGGCGCTGACGGGCAAGTGGCGCAAGTGCAAGAAGGCGAGCGATCCGATGGACGATGCATGCGAGATGGTGGCGCTGCCCTGGGTGCTGCGCAAGGCCATTGCAGTGCTCAACACGCTGGAGGTGAGTGGCCCTGAAGGGCTGGCGCTGCTGGAAGCGTGGCAGCGGGCAGCGTGGCAGCGGGCAGCTCGCCGGGCTGGTGGCGGCACTGGGGCCAGCGCTGCCGCACTGGCCGGTGACCTGCCGGCCAGCGTGGCCTTCCAAATCTGCCCATGCCTGCCCGCCCCGCAGCTGGAGGACACAGCCACGCACTTCAAGACCAACCTGAAGGCGGGCGGCGTGATGGACGTGATCGAAAAGGTGAAGCGCTTGTCTATGCAGGTGCCAGGCCCTAGGGTGCAACTCCCGAGCGGTAGCCTGGCCTGCTTCGACTCCTCCTGCCAGTGCACACCTGCCTGCCGTGCAGTACCCCTGGAGCGGCGAGGCGGTATTACACCCACGGCGGGACAAGCGGCGCGGCACGCACACGGCGCACGTGACGCGCACCGACAGGGGCCCCTGCATCGTGTGAGCGAGGCGCCCTGGATGGCTGTGCCATCCGGCCTGCAGCCGGGCCAGACCCTCTGCTGGCAGTTGGCTAGGCTTGACCGGCTGGCCACCTCCGCATGTGGCAGCCTGGCTTCAGCCGTATCCACCCACACGCTAACCAAGGCCCAAGCAGTTGCTCCCTTGCGACGCTCTGCCGCATGCCTGCGCTGCCGCCTGCTGCCGCAGGTGCTCCTGGCAGGACCCGTACGGAGGGGACTGCACCGACACGTTTGAGCTGCTGGCCGATGGCCACACGCTGGTGCAGCACACAGACATGTCCATCCGCTCCACCGGCCGCCGCACGCAGTACAAGTGAGGGAGGGGCAGGGCAGGGCGGGGGCAGGGCAGGGGGCTGCTGCAGGCTGCAGCGTTCTGGGGCGCAGCCATGGTGGCGGCAGGGCCTTCCCGTGGGTTGGGGGCTCGGGACAACAGGCCGCCCCTGGCGCCTGCCTGCAGGACTGTCTTCCACCGCGTGCACTCCTGAGCAGCTGCCTGGACCCAGCCGCTGGCGCGGCGCTCCTGTGCAAACCGCAAGCCTGTGCTTTACTGAAGCCCACCGCCGTCTGCATCTCTGCCCCCTCTGCCCTGTTGCGGGTCCATGTATTCACGCGGAGCTCGTGTAAAACCGTCCTGTAATGGACACATCTGGGGCCTATCCCAGGGCTGCCCAGCACTGGGCAGGTCTCTGCTGAATTTCCCACCGACCAGGGTTGCTCAGCACCCCGGGGGCAGTGCTGGGCGGCGCTGGTGCTGGGCAGCGCTGGTCACCGCCGCCACTCAAGCGCCCTGTTCGCGCTGCATGTGCAGCACTTGCGCTGGGCAGTGCATGTTTGGTGGGGAATTCAGCAGAGCCCTGCCCAGTGCTGGGCAGCGCTGGGTTAGGCCCCAGATGCATGCTCCGTGCAAGGTGGAGCTACCTGCACGCAGCTGCGCAGCGGCGCGCAGCGGCGGCAGTCTGCAGTACCCTTCCCCCCGAGGGACTTAAGCCAAACATGATCCCTCGTCAAGAGGACTTGCACAAGTGTGGCAGCTTGTCCAACCCCCTGTGTCGCACGGGAGCAGCTGGGCCCGCACTCCTGCACCCGAGGTGAGCCGCCTCTCCGCAGCAGCCTGCTAACAAGCGACCTGGGCGGTGTGCCCCTCATTTGATGAGGCCGGAGCCTGGGAAACATGTCTGCCTCTTTGGTGCGGGAGGGTGCGAAGCGGGGCGCGGGCCTCATGGGGTAGGGCATTGTTGCAGCTCTCCAGACAGCAGCAGGGCCAACCCCGAGATACAAGCGCTGTGGGGAAGCGAGGGAAGCGGAGGGGGGGCCTTTTCAGCGCCCGCACTCTATGTTCGGCACTCCCGCAACGGGCGCCTGCGCACCTGTCCCGCCACAGCTGTTGCTTGCTTGTGTGGGCTTAAAGTCTGGTAAAGCAAGAACTAGCTTGCAACATAGACTCCCCGCCGAAACGGGACGGGAACCGGGCGAAAGCAGAGAAAGCAATAAATCAGGGGTGGAGCAAGGCGACATGCAACGCAAGCAGCTGACAGGGCACGCATCGAAACGTGTGTATGACTGGCAAAGTGGCATGGCGCATTGGGGAGAAACGCAACGGTACGGGAGCATGGGCTGGCCAAACGGCAGTGCGGAACGCTAGGTCACTAGAAAAGCAGGGAAAGGCGCACTATGTATGCAATGAGGGCAGCCCCGGCTCGGGGCCGTTGAGAAAGCAGTGGGCGGGAGGGGGGAGGCCCCGGTGTGGGCGGGCCCCATCGAGGGG